CGAGCGGATGTTATTACGGGAACTGCGTACACGGGGTAAAATGCCGTATTATCCTTAGCTGCTGGGGATGGCCTTGAATTAGCTGTGGGCCACCTGGTGCAAGGATCGGATATCAACGCCAATTCCAAAGGAGGCTAAGAGAGAACGACCCTTTAACTGGGCTTCCGCAACGACCGAGAAGCAATCCTCAAACTCCTGCTGGAAAAAAAATCACGGCCCAAGTGTTCTATACTGGAAATATCTGGGCCACCGGGGAAGATTAATGGAGTATATAGGTTCTGGAGACCCGTGGCCGATGGCGTGTGGAGTGTTCGACACTGTAGGTCTTCATGGAAAATCACGGGTCTTGGGGAGGAACTGTGGCCTCTCGGAGGGCCTGGGGCCTGGCCCGGAGGTCGCACCAGAAACAGAAACATGAAAAAGAAAAGAAGCAGGAGTACGATGAATAATTTCCCTTCACATCTAAAAGATTTGCAAAAAGTTGAAATATTAGGATTTACACCGAGAATCTCCAGCCTGCACATCTCTAGAACCATGGTTTCCACATTCCTCCATGTTCTCTTCTTGCTTGTCTGACTTCTTCTCCTTTCCCCCCTCCTCGACCTCCTCATCAGAAGAATATTCAAGCAAATACGGATGGCGCTTAAGAATCGAGGCAGGATACTGCATATAATTGGGGCCCATTCCGGGCGGTGGGGTGCCCACTGACCAGATGATCTCTGGGATTGGCTCAAGGTCGGAATTGCATTGCATTGGCCAGGGGATGTCGGGGGCAGTATCGGGGAGGTCGGAAGTGGTGGTGGTTGTGGTTGTAGTAGTGAAGGTTGAAGTAGTCTTGGTAAGGATCGGAGCGGTAGGTGGGAGGGTGGAGGGAGCTGGGGCCGCAGACATGTTGGAAAGCACCAGTGATTGCCCGGAGGGTGGAGTCGGTAGAGCTGGTTGGGAGAGACGACGGGGGAATGGAGAAGAGCGGGGGTAAAATACCCGGGGCGGGGGAACTTGAGCATCTTGGGGCCCTATTCTTTTTCAAGCTGCGGCTTAGGGGTCACTATACCTGCTTGGTGAGTGGTTTGAGGTATGGACCTCGGGCTATGGTCAAGCGTCCCTAGTTCCTCCATCTCACCCTGGCCTGAAGTGATGGTTTATCAATTACCAGCGCATCTTTCCCACTATATCAGAACCTCCCGTTGTGTTTGGGAGGCGAGTGATAGTGTATGGTCTCCCGAGGGTCTTGGAGGAGGGTACAATGCTTGGTAAAAGATAACTACTGAAGAGGTGGAAGGGGAAAGGAAAAAAAAGGACATAATCCCCCGCAAATAATTTACCGATCCAATACTAGCTAGACTCGAAGAGTCCGCCTAGAAAAATCGATTCTGCCCCTATCCAGCAACTTGTTCCTCCACCGTCGATCCTCCCCTACCTCTCAGAAACACCCAAATCTTCCTAACGACCAACTCCCATATATCTCTATGATGGGCATACTTTCCAAGAGCGCTGCGATCAACAACAACGTCCGTGCGGCTTTGTCCTGGTTGCACTGCTCGTGGATCGGATCCATCTCGGAACCCAGAAGTTCGGTCACTTCGGTGACGTGCCCATCAGAATGTGGAAGCTGCAGTCGAGTTTCTGTGCAGCTATGCCTGTGGATGTTGGTTGGAGGTCTGGGCGGTGCCCGGGGCGGCGCTAGCGTGCGGCCGGGCATGGGTGTGGTGGGATTCTTGAAATTGACACTGCGGCCGCTTATAGTGGCTGTATCGGGACCCCGAGGAGGCGTCGGCTAAGTATTCGGGTGCGTATCATATTTTAGCGGGCGGAGTGATGGGTTGTTAGGGTTCCCTGAGGGGGGTTTTTATTTGCGGTTAGGCTAGGAGGGCCTTCGGGCGAGCATTGGGGGGATCAGGTGTGTATGATACAAGAAGGGCAGTCGGGTTTGGGGAGTGTGCCCGCACCGGAGCTAGTCGTGGCGGTATGATATGATAATTGCGCCCGGGCCATACGGGCTATCCCCCATTTCCATATAATAGGTTTATTACCGTATTTACTCTCTACATCCACTATCGGGGGTCGGACTCGGAGCGGCCTCGGATCCCCCCGATCAAGGACAAAACACCCCGAGAAGGAACAGTTTTGTCCAGACAAAGTATAGCTTGGGGAGGCTAAGCTTACTCGATCTCATTAACTGGAATTCGTTATTTTGTTAACCTAACCTACTAAGCCTATTGTGGTTTAGAGGGTGATCTCTGTTTGAGATCCCCGATGGTGGATGTAGCGAGTAAATACGGCATACGGTAGTTCGCTTGCTCAATGCGAACAGGGAACGTACGAGTACATAGTACAAGTGCCAGGGGAGATGTTTTCGTACAAGACAGGGATTGTTTTGCGGGCTAACCTAAATTAACTGTGCGAAAACATTATCCCTGGCACTTGTACTTCCACCAGCCCCCCCGAGTCGGGACCCATCCACCCTCTGCCCCCGGGTGCGACACCTTGAAACCTTCATACCCCGGAAGAGTAAGCCTACCGTAGTCACCCCATTGGGACTGACGTTAGTACCGGTACCGCTGCCACGGCTCGTGTTCCACCTTAACTCGCACCAATCGTCTGGATGTGACTGATCCTATTTTCAAGGTTCCTCCGGTGTAAGCTCTAGAGCGCTCTCGGAGAAAGGCAGTGTTGCTCGCGACGGGGCGTCACTCCGGGGTCAGTTAGTGACGGGTGTCACTTTGGACTTTACTGACGCCCCGTCAGGCAGGTATCATCAGTGTTCCCAACGGGCTAGGCCAGTGATAGGCCAGCCTATAGGCCGTAGGCTGGGCCAAGGCAGGCCGCTCTGACGATGAGCCTAGGCGGATATAGGCCGAACTCAACCGGCCTGCCGAAGCCTATCAGGCCTGGAGCCTATAGGCCTGCAAGTGGGATTTTTAGAGCTGATTGTTTTAAGAGTGGCTCGATTCCTTACAACTTTCATTGTGGTTTATTATTTTATCTCTATCCTCAGTTGTTAGTTGAAGTATGATAACTATGCGATTACCGATCCACAACCAGCTCAAAGAAGTCCAGGAAATCTACCTCCAGATTCTCCAATGCAGTACTTTCTCACAATCCTTCCTGACGATTCAGTTTCTTCAGCAGGAATCCATCAGTGAATGTGCCCACTATGACTAGTTTGGTGGAATGGGAGATGAGCCGAATGGAAATCAAGGATCTGAGGGGGTTGTAGGCCCATATTCATAGGCTGGGCCCGGCTTGGCTAGGCCATATAGGCTGGGCCGGCCTATCAGGTGGCAGGTACTTAGCCTATACGGCCAATAGCTGGGCCCGGCCAGGCCAGGCCCAGGCTTTTCAAAGCCTATAGGCTCCGGCCGGGCTAAATCCCCCATAGTTGTGGCAGGCCGGGCCCGGTTTCGGTTCAGCCTGGCCTACCCGGCCTGTTGGGAACACTGAGTATCATGATGGGGTGTCAAGCTTAGTAATATATCCTCTGAGTGGTCAGAAGGGTAATGAATGCACCAATTGCTACGCTCAACCAGGGAGAGTAATTCTCTGTACTAGAGAGTACTCAGAAAGTACACTCCTGTATCACTATCATCTTCCATCAGAAGATAATGAATTTGTCAGATTATATCTTGTGACAGTATTTTGATATCTGACAACATTTGATACTAACATTTGGTACCCTACTATGAGGGAATTTCTTAGTTCTGACAACTAATCAATCTTCTGCTATAATACGATAGCATCAGGTTAATTCACATGCCCTCATTCTAGGTCATATCATATGACTGGACTCTGACAGCACCTGCCAATATAACCTCTGGCATCTAACCAAGATTCCTACAGAATCTGATTTTGATAGAGTGGTGTAGGACATTATCTAGTATTCCACAGAAGCCCTCCCCCCTAGAAAGAGCTGCGGAATCATTTTCCATTATCCCTCGAATGAAAATTCAACATACATAAACCCTTACCCAGCTATCGACACCCCGTCACCCCCTTTACTGACACCCTATCATGACCCCCGTCACTGACATAATAGTATCAGTTACCCGTCACCCGTCGCCAGCAACACTGTACTCGACAGAGGCACCCGGCACATAGTATGTTACCTCACAATAGCGATAAATCCCCTGTAGTGCTTTGGGAGTAAATTAGTGCTTTTTTTATTAATCATGAATTTAAGCGAGACACTAGTTCTAGTCGTTAGAGCTACCAATACAAGCCAAGTGGGGGTGGACACACTTGCCGATCCCATAGCCCTCCCACTTCTAGATACCGTACACCTGTATCATACCCTGGCAAGTAGGATACCGTAAGAACTCGAATAAACGAGCCTTGTGCTAGGACGTTGGACTTGCCTCTCCTAGTAAGGTCTGGTGTTTTTTTCTTTTTTATTTGTCTCGGAGAGCAGACTTTTTGGTGTGTTTCTCACCCCTTTTCCCGGTGAGGAAATTCTGGACTACATAGCACGAGGCTCGTTTATTCGAGTTCCTACGGTAAGAATAAGAATAAAAATTGAGAGTAGTTGAATCACTCCCGAATGAGAGGGCGTGACTGGTATGGGCCTGTTCGGGAGGTGGTTAAACCGGGTGTTTCAAGTTTTATCATATACCCAGGGAGGGGAGAAGTTGAGCAGCGTGATGCCCTATTCTCTCTTTGTTCATGCGGTGGCTCCAGGCTCAATATGCCTGCTTGGTGTGTAACTCAGGGAATCAATCCCAGGTCAGGATTGAGCGCCCATTGTTTATTACTCTATTCTGCCTATAGCGGTGGCTTATAAATTACTGAAATATCCTCCACAATGGATAGATCGCCCCGAGGGGTTTTGCTACTAAATATTTAGCGAGTGATAATATGTGACTTCACTACTGTATTGTAGTAAAAAAGATAGCTATTAAAATAGGAAAGAAAAAAAGGACATAATCCCCCAACAATAAATATATCCGTCTAACGCATTAGCCGCGCACGGAAAGCCCTCCCAGAGAAAATAAAACAAAATTATCCTACTCCCACCCAGCAACTAATTCCTCTGCTACGGCCTTCACTTCCTCCACCCTTACTCCTTCTCTACCACTCAGAAACACCCAAACCTTCCTAACAACTAACTCCCATATATCTCTAAGATTGTCATACTTACTCTCCAAAAGCGTTGCAATGAGCAACGCCACCCATGAGACTTTATCCCCACCGCAGGGCTCGGGTATAGAATTCATAAGGGAGCCTAGGAGTTCAACGACGTATTCATCCGCAATGTGGAAGCTGCCGTCGAATTTTTGTGCAGCTATAAGTTTGTGGATTTTGACCGGAGATCTTGGAGGCGCCCGGGGTGGTGCCAGAATGTCGCCGATACAGGCCATGTCGGACTCCAAGGAATCGCCACCTGCGCTGCTGGTGATAGGTGGAGAAGTGGTGGCTGGAAGGATTTGGACGGGGTCTGAGGAGCCTAGTTCAGCGGATGTGGGGTTACATGAGTGCCTTAGAGAACAACCATTCAAAATTTTTACAGGTGGGAGTTGTTGCTGCGGTTGTTGTTGTCGTGTCGCTGATCCCGGGGGTAGTCCGGAATTTCTGGAAGCCTGCCCAAAAGCTGGAACGGCGCTACTGGGGCGACAAACTATTTTGCTTCCCTGAATGGACCCTGGTCGTAGGGACGGGTTGCGGGACCCCCATGACACGCTATGTATTTCGTTTCCCTGAATGGACCCTGGCGGTAGGGACGGTTCGCGGGGCCCCCATGACACGCTATATATTTCGCTTCCCGGAATGGACCCTGGTGGTAGGTACGGCTTGAAGGGCCTAGAGCTATTCCATACGGGATGAGTAGGATCTGGCGTATCCCTCGGCGCTAGAAGGCGACTCATAGTATCAACTCCACTATTCATCACTCGGGCCCCTATAACGACACCCCGTGGAGCTCCGGAACCTGTTGTGGCGCGGGGCAGATGTGTGGGATATGGCCTTGGCAGGAGCTCGGGACAGGATCCGGCAGAGAAGGAGGTGGGCTTGTCAATGGGCACGCTCTTTCCAGTATCCTCAATGGTTTCGAGTGACCCGCTAGGCATATTGGGAGCGGAAGACCCACCCTCAGAAAATCCCAACGGCCCCTCCTCCGGAGGGGCTTGCGTCAGGGTTGATGCCTCGCCCAGAATCTCCTCTTCAACACCCACGAAGCTCGTCCATTTACTTGCTAGTAACCACTTCATGCCAATCTCCTCTCCTTCTCTCTGGGCATACTCCTGAATTCCGGCCGAATCTCCTGCGGGAATACCGCACTTACTAGAGTGAAGCCAGCTTTTACTCTCCTCCAGATCACGCAATAGCATTCTGGCGGCGAGTTGGTGCACAGTTTTCCCTGGTTTCTCGATGTGGGTGACGGGAATTGAAAGCGAGAGCTTGTCACCGGCAATTGTGGTCGCGCTCAAAGCCACGGACTTTGCATACTTTAATTGTTTGGCGGTAGGGGGGATCAGGAGGTATACCACGGATCTCTCATATGGGAAAAGGGGAGGGATATCGAAAGGGGCTTGGATCACCTCCGGGCCTTGTAGCTTCCTCAAATGGGCGAATCTGTTTCCACACTCCCCATCTTCGTCCGAACTTGAGTCCGGATTCACATTTGGAGAGGATGGTGGTGTAGGAGAACGTTGGCGTGGTGCCGCAGTAGGGTCAAACAGGTTGATCCTCCTCGATCGCCCCTCCTGGAGCCTGTCCTGTACTGGAGCCGAATGGGCGGGTATCTTTTGCCCCCCCGACCCGACACCCTCTTCGCCCTCGCTCTCCGAATCCTCCTCGTCCCCTTCCTCGTGCAAAATATGTAACTTGTACTCCTCAATATGGTCCGTGAGGGCGCTGTTAAGCATCCTCACCACCTTCGCCTCCAGGCCATTTGCCAACTTATCGCCGCCCGTCTCACCGCTTGGCACAATCTGGGAATATCCTCCCCCGGACAGTGCAATTCCCTGAATGAGCGCATGCGACACCCTTTCTCCCACGCCCAAGCTGAAGAGCCGAACCGCCCCACCGCTTTGCTTGCGCATCTGTTGGATATACTCCAGCAGTTCGGGCAACCTCCAGATCTCCCCGTCCGTGAGAACCATGATTTCGGTACTCACTCCCGGTTCCGTGTGCCTCTGAGAGCATGCCTGAATCAAGGGAGGTAATAGTTCTGTCCCACCGTAATTTGCGTCAAACGTCTCGATATGCTCGGATGCAATTTTCAAGGTCCCCTCGGCGTAGGCTCTGGAGCGCCCCCAAAGTAAGGTGTGTTTACTACCGAAGGATATGATGTTGAAAAAGCAGCCTAACGGGAGGGACTTGAGGAATACACGAAGGGCCGATTTTACGTGCCCGATGGTGTCTCTCATAGAACCAGATCGATCAACGAGAAAGATTATTTCCGTCTTCTCGGGCGCTTCCTTTCTCGGCATCTTGAAGCGCGGCACAAGCGTTACTTTTAAAGCTTGGTGACCAGAGATAGTCGGATGAGTTTCTAGAAATGCCTGGGGGGTAGATATGAATTGCGGAGTCACAGTAGTGATCAAGAGCACAAAGTCTTTCAAAAGTTCGGCGGGCGTCTGAGACAGAATTACCAGCGCCTTCTTGGGGTCGTTCTCTCGGCCATTACCTCTTCCCTTTCCCTCTCCATGCTGCCCAAGCTGGACAACTGTTGGATGCGAAGGGCTTCCAACATACTTTATCGCTTCACCCATTGTAACTTCAATCTCCATCCGAAGACTTTTATCCACCGAAACCTCCGGACCATTCTGCCCGAACGCGCCTGGCGGTGGTGGTCCATACCTTGGCGCAATGGACAGCGGAACCGTGAACTTGATCCCATCGACCTCCGCATCATGTGGGAGCTCCAAAATATACCCAATCTCAACCTTAATCTTCACACCAGCGGGTATATTCCCAATACTAGTGGTGAAAACATCGGAAGTATGGTACTCCAACAGCCCAGCCATCTGCCCACTTCTGGTCGCACTCTCATATGTCTGCTTCGCAACTTCCTTCGGCTTGACGACGCCGGTGATAACTTTTCTTTCACCGACTCTGCAAACGAAGGAAACGACGGAGCAATTTGCATACAGCGGGAATGTGTATGTTGCTTTTGAAATCGGTCGGTTTCCGGGGTGGTAGAATGTCTGTGTGAGCGTTGTCCGAGCGGCTGTTGTGAGGATTTGAGATAGGTGCGAGACTTGGACAAGAGGGAGGAAGACTTGTTGTCGCACTATTGGCGGTGGATAATTGGCGTACGCTTGTGTATCCCGTTGGGGAGCATTGGTAGAGCGTAGCGTGTGGAAGTTGTTCACTCCGATAGCACCCACAGATGGAGGTTGGCCCTGTTGTAAGGCGTGAATTGGGTCTCCAGGTGGGGGTACATCGTCCTCGGGAAAGAAATAAATGCCGGAAGAAGACGGGGACGTCATGTCATTTTCTTAGGGGCTCTCGTTTTCTAAAATAGCGTTCGGTATGTAGTTTGGCACTGGGGAATTTTAGGAGCCGGGGGCCTTTATGTTGCTCGAAAATTGGACACGGAATATTTATTGTGTGTTACTAGTGGTTTAATCCGGTGGCGGTATGATAATGCACATTCTAGCCGAAAGGAAGCAGATTCACCTATGTTCTGTACAGGACTAGCCCGAATAATCCAATCGAGTGCTACAGTACTATGTCCCCGGGAATTCCCCGCTCTAGGAAAGCGGCGAAAACACAGCAAAAAGTGGGCTATTTAGCCCCTTTGTGGGACATAGAGACACAGAGGGCACACTACTTACCGAAGAGGCAACTCTAACGATATGATATTCAGTTTGATTACCGGTGCTTAAGTTTTTATAGAGTCTGCCCAGAAAAAGGAGCCCTAATATCACACAGTACCATACAGCACTCCACCGGGTGCTAGTACAGGCGGTGCAGTATGGATCCCAGCAATAGCCCTGCCACTACCGCTCTAGAACCACAATAGTTCCCGGGGCAGCCGCAGACAATGTCAGCTACGGAAAGCTTGCCTAGGCACCGTGAGGTGTTAGGCGATTCTCGGGATCAAAGGGAGATAGATGATTTCAATAGTTCCGTATTTACTGTTCTGATAAAATGTGAAATGTGTCGGGGCAGTATTTCTTGAAATATCTACAGAAGCGGAATGCTGAAGCCCCACATTGACGCTTGCCCCCAACTATGGGGTTGTGAACGAGGCAGTGTGAAAGTCCTGTGCAGGTTGTGATATCGTAAGAGCTGGGGTAGTTGAATCTCACAATGTGACATAGTACCGTAGCCGCCTCTCCTAGTCAGGTCCGCAATGTTTTTTTTTCTGTCTGTCTCAACAGAGGGCCGTGGGTCAGTTTTTCTCGGTCTTATTCTCCACCCTTAAGGGGAACCCTGTACTGGAGTGCAGTTCTTGCAAAGTATGTCTTAGTGCATGATTCAATTGTTCTAGTTCTTAAGGTATTGGATAGGGATTTGGAGGAAGCGGTTATGTAAGCACCCAATTTATTTCATGCGGAGCCTCTCACGATACCGGCACTGTACTTTTATAATAGCTGTGGCTCCGGATGACCTGGCACTGTACAGCAGTAAGAAGGAAGGGTACAAGACAGAGATACTTACTGAGCAAGCGCCAGACAGTACTTGTGATGCGGGGCGCATCTGATTGAGTTGGCTGTACCACAGACCTCCGTGGGAATAGATGCTCGGGAACAGAAGTAACAGTATTGTTAAATTTAACGGTTAATAGCTAACTGCTAACTGTCAATGGCGATCAAGAGGTAAAATGTGGAGAATCAAATTTAGAGAAGTAAAAACAAAAGAACCCGACAATTGTACAACTTAATACATTGTATGTTCTCCTCTCGCTTCAGGGGTCTCTGCTGTCCTAGTTGGCATGTAGTTCCGGAATTGTTGGAAAAATTCTGACGCATAATAACTGGCCTTTAAATTGAAGGTAGGATCTAGGCCATTTTTTCCTTTACTGCCCCCTTTTTTCCTGCCGTAGGTACTGGAAACTTCATTTCACTGTTGATTTCAGTGCTTTTTGTGCACCATGATACTAGTTTTGGTTTCTTTTTCGACTCAGCACATTTTTGTTTTTTTCGGAAAGGTTGAACATGGTGTCACCGTTCATCATGAAGGGCTACCGGAGCAGTCCGCTTGGAGACAAAGGTTAGTACTGTACGGCCCTCAAGTGCGGTAACGTTCGGGATGTGAAGAGGGTGTATAAAGACAAAAAAGGCACCTCTGCCTACTCGGCCTTCTTGTGGTGTGATTACAAGTACTGTACTTGAGTATGATATTGCCCCAAAAGTACCGTACCTCTACAATCTGAAACACCGTATCATGAACACCTTTGTTTGCTCGCCGTACGGTACCCACATAGGAATAACCCCTAATCTAAATCATATCATAAAAGTGCTATGTAAGTGCTATTGAGGTTGAGTTCCAGGGGTCGCTTACAAGTGAAACATTTGGACTGGTGGGATTGCCCTTTGGCCATACAAACCCTGGTGCTTGTTGCGGGTAAAATTACCGCCCAGACGGAAATTTTCACCCCATCTCGGAGGCGGAAATGGCCGGACCATAGTCTAAGTACTAGAAAAGAAGGATGGTGCTGCTTGTTATCCAGTGGGTTCCTCCAGTGAGCTCTTAAGATGCATTATAGTGACGTAGGTTGATGATGGTTACTGTAGCCATGTACGAGTACGGCGCAGTACAATAGTCTACCCGAGGAACTGGAACAATGGAGTCGAACGCTGAGACGTTCAGAATTTCCCTCTTTGGATAAAAGGTGGGTATCGCCCCAGAAGAAAGCCGGCTGTCATCCCTCCCCCGTGACTACCAAAAAGAATATATATATATAACAGGATTTACTGGTAGCAAGTGCAGGCATCGGGTATTTCGTAGTAGTGGAGGAATACCACTTGTGTGGAGGTGGGAAGGGCTGTGTTTGGTAAGCGGTCCTCGACAACTTGTTCCCTCTATCTTATTAGACTATATAAAACAAGATCTTTCGAAATGACCGGTCACGTGAACATACGTGCTAGGATATGAGTAATGCATTGGGAAACGCTAAAAAAAAAATTAAAAAAATACCATACCAAGCACCTGGAAAGCAATAATTACTCTTACTAGCAGCCCCCCATCGACACTTCTAGGGCCTATTCCTAGTATCAAAATATTATAGCATCATAAAAGCCCTTCCATGAATACTACTGTCCGAAAACCTATGCCTCACCTCCACCCTCTTGAAAATTCTATGGAAGAAAAAAAAAACTTTCTTTCCCCCCCTGGATTCCTATAAATACAGCCCCCCCCCCACCAAATCCTCTTCTTTCCTCTCCATGGACTTTGCATCACAGTTGCGGAGGAGCTCCGGGACTGTAGACGACAGCCAGAGTTCCTCCCCTGCCGGGAGCGTCCCGGCTCCCACGAGCAGTATCATCTTTACCGTTGCCAACAGTGAGCAATAGGTAACACGCCTCGAAAGAAGGGTGCCTGATATGAAGGAGTGATACTTTAGACCATGGTTTGATATTGTGGTTTTTGGAAATGGCTATCATCCGCTTATGATCGGATGGCTCGTGGGACCCCAGCGTGGTTGACACCTTGACGTGGTGCTGGGGCTTTTAAACTAAGATCAACCGTTGTAGACTCTTATGATTGAGGTATATTTTTATCCTGGTTTTTTGTGTATTGTATTGTTTTCCTGTTAGAGTGTTAGTTAGAAGTTGTCGGAAGTGTTCGGTAGGATAGGCGGACTTGGTATTATATCAGGGGGCTGTGTAATTAGTAGTTAACTCCATATCTAGATTTTATCAACTTTACAAATATTTTCTAGTTCATACAGAAAAGCAAAACATCTATGACTGTCATCAAACCCTCACAACCGGACAGGGAAGTGGGTCGAGCGGGAAGTGGATTAATTAAATTACACCAGAAAAGTAAAAAAAAACCCAAATCGGCGTCTAAGAGTGCGAAAGGGAAATCCAGATGGGCAGAAAATATTCCTGATAGCAGCGTGGATTGGATTTCCTTCTGAGCTGAATTCCGGGGTTTGGTTTTATGGGAAATTTAGTAGTGGAGATTTGAGCAAGATTCACGTAGAGTACAGGGCGATTCACTTCTGCGTCCAGCCCATTTCTTAGTACAATCTATTACCTCTATTACCGTAAAATCTTGAATAATTGAACCGTGTGTTGTGTAGTTGGAGTTGCCTCCTCTGGTAAGGTCTGGTGTTTTTCTTTTTTTATGACTCTCGGAGGGGCTGAGCAGTCCTGTTTTTCGCTGTGTCCCCTGCCTCTTTCCCAAAGCATGGAATTCTGGACTACATAGCACACGGTTTAATTATTCGAGATCCTGCGGGTATGCTTTGCTTCTACAGTACTACCAAGATTTTCGACGTGACTGTCGGCCATGGGCCCACTCCACTGACTCGTACCTAATATCTGGAGAGGCATGCGAATGGGGCACTAGCACATATACCGCATTAAACTGTTAAGAGAAGCCGCTATTCCGAATCTGCAACAGAGCAGGAATAAACCCCTTGGTTTAAAGTAGTAGCGCTAGGTGAATGTCTCCAAATGGTACTGTGCCCGAACGGTGGTCTGCGGGGCTTGATCGGGTGCGAGAGAAAATAAATTGAGATCCGAGTTACGCTCTTCCCTAAAGCCAACCTCAAGATACCGTATTCTGTCGCCGGATCCAAAGAAGTGGAGTTTTCTTTTCCGGACGAGTCACTTCTGAAAGGGGGACGACCTCAATCAGGTGACATGAATAGCTCGGGGTTAAATAAGAGAGGTAATGGAACAGGGGATTCTAGAATAGACCACAGTGCGGTGGCAGCGAGAATTTTCTAGGCCCCCTCTCTTGCAATGTCATAGAGAGGCCGATCAATCAACCGTAGAATCTCAAGCGATGGGAGAATGCCCTAGGGAGTCCAAAATCTTGTTCGCTGGAGAATGGCGAAAAGTACGGCCAATGGTGTGTCGTTTAGCTCCTCGGAAAAAAGAAGAACGAAGAACAGTATCCTATAAACCCTCTTATAGGATGCAGCTCTAATAGCACACTGCCCAATAATATCGGATTTTACTGTACCTCTATAACCGATACTGGGCGCACACACTAAGGCATTTGATCCTCTTGGCCAAACCATCTGAGGTCGCACCGGTATGGGACGCTTTAATGACCGCTGGTCAGGCTATATGCTTCAGTCACCAGAAATTCATCCATATACAGTGACTGCGACTTCGGGATACGAGGGCCATATATCCCGGCCCCCGCTTGAGGATATACGGGGGGGGTTACGGGAGGCATTTGCCAAGATAAGAAATAGTAACGTTAAAATCATACCGTATAATCTGCCGGGGGTGGGGACTAATCACGATATCTCACTCGAATGTCCTCGTTGTTAACACCGCGTTAGCATTACGAGAAGAATGGTTGGTATTAGCATGGGAGCTGTTGAGAGATTGATCGTTGGAACAGGAATACTAAGGATGTATGAGTGGCATGAATTTTAGGAACGGTAACTAGTATAGGATGTTAGAATTTGCGGAGATTGCACTTTACTGGAAACATGAACTATGCATATCGATCGATCACTGCTGTTGTTGCTTGATCAAGATATTAGTCTGGGATGTTCTAGGGGTTGATTTCAGATTTCGCTTGGGGAGCTAAGTAACTCCCACAAGTTTCAATAAAAATAATAAAGTTCAGCCCACCATCCTTGGCTAACCTGGCCACGGCTAGTCACTCACCAATTTCCGGGCGCTTAGGGTGGGGTCTGCCTCCTCCCAGGGAAGTGACCTCCCCCATGCCCATCATGAACGGAATCGGAATATAGCGTAATTCAGGATAACCCAACCTAGGCCCCTTGACACCCAAGTCAGTCGGAGCCACGGGATTAGCTACTATATCGCACTTGGCCATCACTCTGGTAGCCGGCTATGGGAGCAGGTCGATCGAGGTAGGAACGGGGAAAGCCCGGGGGCTAGATGTAGTGGGTGGGGAAGGTTTTTCACGATGGGGTATTTCTCCGACTTTGTCCCGCGGCGGCCGCTGGTGCACACCTTCAACCCCGACATAATCCTGGAATATCTAGCACATGGCCTATAGCCTTCGAGTAATTGCATCAAGCCAACCCTTCACCAAAACATGCCGCTAAGTGATATAGGAACAACCCAAGAACCAGGGGTAACGAGCAAACAGTTGAGCATGCAAGACCACAGACACTCCCGGGCTGGTGCATGTTCTGCCACAGGTACTGGAGTGACTGAACCTCACTCTAGGGTGTTGTGGATTCTCTCTTCGCAGAGTCTATTGCATCTCCCATTCTTACTTACCCCGGCCAAGGGATTAAAGTGTGTCTTAGAGCGATTCCCACCTTCCACTGCACCCAAAGAGGAGAATTCTGAGCTTCTTAGTGTAAGGCCAGTCTATTCTGGTCCTCCTGGCGTTCTAAAAGCCTTTGACCACACCTGTCAGCCTACACTATTAACAATATAATATCAATAAACCGTGCAGTAAACAATAGTAAAGCAAATACTGTAGGCAAGAGAGGAAGAAATATTGATGACAAAAATATAGGAAAGAGGGATGAGAGGCAACATTATGCCGCAGGGAATAAGAGATAAATGGGGGATAGAACCATCTAATAGCATACTCCGGATATCAGTAGGATGTGAAGAGGGCACCTTATTTGGGCCCGCTCTCCCCTCAACGTAGTTCACTCCTTAGTGTTACAGATGGTGCACTCATGAAGGCCTGTGGAACTATATCCCATGAAGGATTCCTACACTGCCGTTTGCTGGTGCTGGTGAGTTCCAGCGCCGATCAACCAGTTGGCTAAGAGAAAGAAAAAGAGGTAAGCCTGGGGGTGAAGCTAGCGAGGAAGTAGGAGCGGCTAGGGGGGTATGGGGGGCCTTGAGCAATAGCGGAGGTTCGGGAGGGTCATCTGGTAGAACAGTAAGGAAACGTGGGTTTTGTCTGGGGATATCAGAACCCGGGGGAGTCCCCATGGCCCGGAGAGCTCAGTTGAGGAGTCTGGTGCTCCAACCATTGGCTGATTTGGAAATAGGTGCTTTTTGCTTTTATGAGCAGGTTCACTCCCCTCATGTGTCGGCTGGTGTTAGCATAAATCGGCGAAGCTCAGCCAAATATATTCCTCGTTTCGAGATTGACATTGTCCCGTTTAGGTAGCATCACTCCTATCCCTCGTATCTGTTCGGAGAAGTGCAAAAGAATGATATTACACCAACCATGTTTCCCCACCGTGCCGCGTCCGGTATCTCCCCTTATCGATAGCCTTAGAGACTTTCTTCCCGGCACCCATATATATATCTTCGGTCTCTCTAGATAAATGACAAACGGTGCGAAAGGGGAAAGGTGTCATCTTAGATTCTGGTTAGTTCCGTAAGGTTGAAGAATGATTGAAAAGGCTCTCGGGTTTTACAAACATATATTGGGACTGTGGGATAATTGTTTCTTGTCGGTAGAACTCGGGCCAGCACAGTCTGGTATTTACTGTACAGTACCTATTGCACTACATTTCTCCGGACAAACTACAACCAAACCTAAGGTTGCCGAACCAAATGCAGCTCAATCGCGAGGTTGATTTATTAAAATTTTGGTCCCTGCAACAGTTATAGAGACTCACATTGTGGTTTTAGACGAAGATGTCGGCTATTGGGCTAGCATCCTCTCCCGTGGTTATTTGGGACAAATTCTTCAATGGCCGGCTCGGTCAGGCTGTTCGAGCTCACTGGGCTTATATCATGCTATCACCAGAATCTCTCCACATGCAATGTTAGATCCTAGATAGTATACTTTGGGGAACCTGGTGCTGGGTGTGAAGTGTAAGTCCATAGAGCTATATCTGGTTGGCCCAAAGGCTTTCTCGGCCACTCAGAGAACAGTGTCGGCTCCGTGCTGATCCAAGAGTTCGACAGATATTCCCCCCCCTCACAAAAAGTTAGTCTAACCGGTATATTAAACTGCACGATTCGCGTCGCACACACATAGGTTCGACAAGCCGAACCGGGGTTTGACAGACTTAATCACATCCTAAGTACGCAGCTCGGCTCTTGATGTACCACTCGATGTGATCCAATACCACACTTTAGTATCTCTGCCCGGGCGACTTGTCCACGAGCAAGATACTCCGGGTTAGGATCAAGGGGGCTCGAGTCAGGAATGGCGGACCGAGTGATGCATAGAAAGCAATGTTGAGAAAATTACTAACTCTGGACGCAGCTTAAAATGGAATTTACCGGTTATATGCCAAAGCTAAACTCTTTTATTTCGTTTTCTATCGGGCTAGTGATAATCCGGGCCTGCCAAGGCCACCGATCCTATGGTATGGTACGAATCACGGATATTGTGGTTGGCTGCTGCTCGGCCGAGGGCATGCCAACCCTAGCGAGAGCGGCGAGGAGAAAGGAAAATTCCCGTATGCTCAGTTTTTGGGGGTGGCATTGTATTAGTTGCGGGTCTTCTGCTCCACGGGCTAGATATCAACCCCAATTCCAAGGGCGAGGGGAATGGAACGGCCCCTTCATTTGTCTACTCCAAGGATTGGGAAGATGTGCTCAAACTCTCCCAAAAAGGTTCATCCCGATCAAGGAGCTAGGCCGAACGCCACACTGGGAAAAGGGAGAGGGACACGAAAGAAGCAAGGTTGCAGGAGTCTCATGGCTAGCTATCCCTCCATGTCTGGGGGCTTGACCAAAAGTAGAAACATCAAAATTCATGATACCTGGCATCCCTGATCTGAATAGGGCATCAGCAGAACTATAATTCCCGCCTTCCCCCTCTTAAATATGGATCAAGCGTTCCAAGGGAATTTTTTGTTGGGTTTAATGTCTATCCGGCGCGCAGGCTAGTCTCTTTTCTCCTAGTTTCCTTTTGTCTTCAGAGTGACAAGACTTTTTTCACATCTCCTCTCACCACCTTGCAACTTCGCAATTGTGCCTTATTCAACTATTATGCCCTTTCCCTTTAATTGTTATTCTCTTCTTCCATTTTCTCCCCTCCCCCTTTCCTCTCCTCCCGGGGCGCCTCACGGCTTACTTTCTTCCGAGATTTCTATATATTCCCAACCCCGACACGGTCCTAGTTTTCTCCTCCCCTGTTTCTTCTACGACCCTCCTAGCCTTCTCACTCCTGCCCATGCAGTGGAAGATCGAGCTTCTCTTGTGTTTCTCCGGGACATTCAAATTCTTGGTGAGTGGTGATATATGATCCTACCTACCATGGTCCAGAAACGAAAAACTAATCGCGGAAATAAAATGAGGAAAATGAGAAAACACAATCCTTCACGATCAATTTGTCCCTCTAACGCATGAACCAAGCTCCAAAAGCTCGCCTAGAAAAAAAAAATAGAACCTTATTCCAACCTAGCGACTAATTCCTCCGCTACCTTTCTCGCTTCCCCCATTCTCAGTCTTTTTCTGTTACGCAAAAACGCCCAAATCTTCACAGCAACCAATTCCCATACATCTCTAAGAGAAGCACACTTTCTCTCTAGGAATACTGCAACTAGCAGCGCCGCCCAACCGATTTTATCCCCCCCGCATGACTCAGGCAGTAAATCGATGAGGGGACCGAGAAGTTGAACAACATAAACATCCGCAATACGGAAGCTGCCGTCAAAATTCTGCGCCTCTATGAGTCTGTTGATGTCAACTGATCTAGCGGGTGCCCGGAGGGCTGGAAATATGCTGCGGGGCTTGTACATATTGGGCCCGTCTACAAATGCTTCGTCGTTCCTGGTGGGGCCTGAATCATAGGTAGCGAAAGGGTTCGAGAGAATGGTCGAGGGGTGTGGTCCGACGGATGAGGGGGTAGGCTGTAGGGGCTCTATAGGGGCAAATCTTTCGTTATATACAAAGCACTCTTCCGGCAGATATTCGTCGGAGGAGGCAGGCTGACCGAAGGGCTCAATTTTAGGTCGAAGCCGCGCCTGCCTCGGGGCGACTAGAGATAGCGGTGGTTGCGCCTCGGCCTGGACGCCCGAGCCATTCAGTCCAAATACCGGACTTAATGTATCCGGTTGGAGAACTACCTCTCTTGATAACTTCTCTGGACCGAGGTTTCGCTCTCTCCAGACTTTACATGGAGGTGGGCGGTCTCTGTAGGCTCTGCGCTCCGGAAAAAGCCCTGCAAGGGTATTAGCCCACTGGGATAGACGCGATTGCTCTTCATGGGACCGCCCCTGTAGTTGTTGCTGTTGCTGTTGCTGTTGGGGTGGTTGCTGGGGTTGAGGTTGAGGTTGAGGTTGAGGTTGAGGTTGAGGTTGAGGTTGAGGTTGAGGTTGAGGTTGAGGTTGATGCTGATGTTGATGTTGTACCGCATGCCTCATCACTTTTCCTGGGGATATTGGTTCCTCCGTATCAGGGATACTGTCACCACTCTCTTTTGAGCTGTCCCAAGTGGGCTCTTGCTGTAGGGTTGGTGTGCGGTGGTGCCGCAGTGGTGCGCCCTGATCTGGATGCCGCGTAGGAGGCTCCCACACGGGATGTGCGGGGTCAGGCGTATCCCTCGGCTCCAGGAGACGACTAAAATCGTTAAATCCACTATTCATCTGTCGAGCCCTTGCCGCGATGGCCCGCCGAGCCCCAGAGCCTGCCACCGTGGGGAGCGCACGAGGAGGTTCGCGCCCTGGCAGGGGCATGCTACTGAATTCGGGGGAGATGGAATTGGCAATGGGCGTTCTACTTTCATTGTCCGCTCTCGTTTCAGGTAATCTACTGGGGATTCCGAGAGCCGAATGCCTGGCCTTCGGGTATCCCGAAAGCTCTCCCTCAGGTGACATGGGGGTCGGGATCAGTGCATCATCCAGTAATTCTTCGACACCCATGAAGCTAGTCCATTTACTCGCCAGTGACCACCTTATGCCAATGTCTTCACCTTCTCTCTGTACGTACTCCTGAATTGCCGCTGAGTCCCCTGCTGGAGCACCGTACTGACCAGAATGAAGCCAGCTTTTCCCCTGCTCGAGATCGCGCAATAGCATCCTAGCAGCGAGTTGGTGAACGGTCTCCCCTGGATGCCTGATGCGGGTGATCGGAATTGAAAGCGAAAGCTTGGAACCAGCAACTGTGGTTGCGCTCAAAGTGACGAACTTTGCATACTTTAATTGGTTGGTTGTGGGGGGGACAAGGAGGTACACTACGGATCTCTCATAGGGGAAAAGAGGGGCGATTTCGAAGGGCGCTTGGATTACTTCCGGATGTTGTAACCTCCTCAAGTGGGTAAATCTGCTTCCACTATCCCCGTAATTGCCCAGAGTTGGGACTATGTTTACACCTGGAGATGGCGGCGGAGTAGGAGAACGTAGCCGAGGTGCTGCAGTTGGGTCGAACAAGCTGATCTCGCTCAATCGCCCATGCAGGGTCCTCTCCTGTGCCGGAGGCGAACGGGTGGATGTCCTCTGCTCTCTTAGCCCGGCTCTCTCTTCTTCATTCTCGGTCTGCGAATCCTCCTCGTCCCCTTCGTCGTGCAAAACATGTAACCTGTACTTCCCAATATGATCCGTCAAAGCATTATTAAGCATCCTCACCACCTTCGCCTCTAGGGTATACGACAATATGTCACTTTTTGTCTCACCACTGGGCACGATCTGGGAATATCCTCCCCCAGCCATTGCAATTCCCTGAACGAGGGCATGCGACACCCTTCTTCCCACGCCCAGGGTGAAAAGCCGGACGGCCCCGCCACTTTTCTTGCGCATCTGTTGGACATATTCTAGCAGCTCCGGCAACCTCCAGATCTCTCCGTCCGTGAGAACAATGATTTCGGTACTCGTTCCCGGTTCCGAGCGCCTTTGGGAAAATGCTTGCATTAAGGGAGGTAATAGTTCTGTTCCACCATAATCCGCATCAAACGTCTCAATGTGGTTGGATGCGATATTCAAGGTTTCTTCGGTGTAGGCTCTGGAGCGCTCCCAGAGTAAGGTGCACTGACCACCGAAGCATATAATGTTGAAAAAGCAACCTAACGGAAGAGACTTGAGGAATACACGGAGCGCCGACTTTACATACCCGATGGTGTCTCTCATAGAACCAGATCGATCGGCCAGAAAGATGATTTCCGTCTTTTGCGGCGTCATGACTCCTGGCATCGTGAAGCGCGGCACAAGCGTTACTTTTAAAGCTTGATGGCCAGGGATAGTTGGGTGAGTTTCTAGCAGTGCTTGGGGGGTAGATATGAAGTGCGGAGTAACAGTAGTGATCAAAAGCACGAAATCTTTCAAAAGTTCAGCGGGGGTCTGAGATAGAACAACTAGGGCCTTCTTGGGATCGTGCCTCCGAGAATTGGCTCTTCCTCTTCCCGCTCTATGCTGTCCAAGCTCCACAGATGTTGGATGCGAAGGGCTTCCGACAGACTTTATCTCTTCGCCCATGGTAACCTCGATTTCCATCCGAAGATTGTTATCCACCGAAACCTCGGGGCCATTCTGCCCAAATGCACCCGGCGGTGACGGTCCGTACCTTGGCGCAATGGACAGCGGAACCGTGAACTTTATCCCATCGACCTCCGTATCATGTGGTAGCTCCAAAATATACCCAATCTCAACTTTAATCTTCACGCCAGCGGGTATACTCCCAATACTCGTCGTGAATACTTCTGGGGTGTTGTACTCTAGCAGCCCCGCCATCTTCCCGCTATTGATAGCCCGCTCGTACGACCGCCTCGCGACTTCCTTTGGTTTGACGACGCCGGTGATAACTTTTCTTTTGCCGACTCTGCAAACAAAAGAAACGACGGAACAATTTGCATACAGTGGGAATGTGTATGTTGCTTTGGAAATCGCTCGGTTCCCGGGGTGGTAAAACGTCTGTGCCAACATTGTCCGAGCAGTTGTCATGAGGATTTGGCATTGGTACGAGACCTGCACAAGCGGGAGGAAAACTCGCTGCCCCGCCGCCAGAAGTGGATTATTGGCGGATATTTGTGAAGCCCTCTGGGGGCTATTTCTAACGGGCGCTGCGCCGAGGCTGCCCCCACTGAGCCTGCCGATAAATGGAGGTTGGCCTGATTGCAAGTCGTAAAACAGGTCGTTGGGTAGGGGAGGATCGTCTTCGGGATAGAAGTGAATGCCAGAGGAGTTAGGGAGCACCATTTGTTTCCTTTGAGGTTCGTTTTTTGCTTTTAAATAGAGCTCGACACGATAGTTCTTCGGTCTTGGGGAATCCCAGAGTTCGAGGACAATTTGTCTTGCCGGGGGGGTGCTCGATAGACCATGGGGTTAGAGTGGTGCAGGGCGGAGCAGATCTAGTCAATAGGTAAGCTTATATCTGCCTAGAAAAAGGAAAAAAGATATCAAAATATCCTATGGGTATGATGGAATAAGGCTGCGGTGACTTTATGCTGTACTACCGGTAGTGCAGCGCGGGGGTCCATTGGGGATAATTACCAGTCAGATAGGGAGTTCGTCAAATAGTTATCTAAGCGGATAACTGGTTTTAATACAAAACCCCTCACAATAATTGCGGCTTCGGATCTCCTGCCACGGCACGGCATCAAAAAGGAGCGATGCAAGAAAAATATTCCTATAGGGAGAGTCCCTAGTTTAAATCACACCATGGGGATTAAGCACCGGGGTGCGCCCACTAGTGAAACATTGTGACGGGAAAAATAGCCACTTGGCATCCAGATATAATAGCAGCAGAGCCCACCGCTCTGGAAGAGAAAACAGCCGAGTTACAGCCCAAGCACCGCAAGGGAAAAATTCCGTTGCTCGAAATGCTTCGTTCCGCACCCCTCCCCCCAAGCCTAGCGTGGCTTGGTGGTTGCCCAGGCGGTGGTCCATGGAGGGTAGGGGGAATCGAACCTCACGCCAAGGCGTCCAGAATTCCCCTCTTTGGTAAAAAGGAGAGGATGATCCTGAAAAGAACTGGCTTTCCATCCTCCTTTGGTATAAACACGGCAAAGAAAGGCCAACTCCAGCGTGCAGCCCAATTAATCCAGTTCTCAACGTGGAATTGGACAGCCTTACTCTAGGCGATGGTATTATGACGTGTTGGAACTGCGAGGTCAGTCAAAAGGGGTAGCGAACCCTTTAATATGCGTCAAGGGGTGGGGATATTGAAATCTCAGTTTATGCCCGATAGTCAGAAGAGGGGACCTAAAAGAGTGGGAAATATTCTTGATATGATAGTACTGATTATATTTTGGTACCGTATCGGTGGTCACTGATGATTGGCCAATGCTACACTAGGCTATCCAAAATAGCCATGTGGGAATATTGTAGTTAGGTTGCTAGTCGGGGGGGATACGGTAGTAGCGTACAGTACAGTGCAGTACTTGTACAGTATTTCTGGGGAGTCTGAGAACTGGAGAAGAGGTGGTAAGTGTCGAAGGTTGCTACCGGGTATGGAAGGTACGGTATATTAGTATCCCACTCTAACAGATTAGTCATCCTACTTGTACTTGTAGCAATCCCTTTGTCTGTCACTACCCCCGATGGGTCGCTGGAGTATGCTCTCACTTAGAAACCTAAGTGCTTGTGTTTAGTTATGACCAAGGATCATTTCCGAATACGGTAATGTACCCATGTAGACTAAGGCACACTAATATCATACTGGGAAGGGGGGGGCATCAATTGAAACCATCAACACAAACCCAAACCCGTCTCTACCGGGTGAACCCGACTCGGGTATTTTCCATATCAGAGTTGGAGCCACTCGTATCATCGCTCTAGGTATAGATTCCAATGCCCCGCCCAAAGTAGAAGCTCAACTCAAGAGCCGTTGAATGTGGGTAGGTTGGCCTTCGCAGCCTAATTACATAAGCCCTCTATCGGGTTTAGTGAGTGTCGAGGGAAAGCTCTTCATGCCATCAATAGCGTCAAATTATTGCGTCTCCCTTGGCGCGAGGGTTCGCCGCCACTAAGAGGAATAGCAGCCTTAGTGCCTGCCCCAATATTTCGGGCTGGAGCGCGCTACACAGCACTGGGCCCAGATATTTCCGACATATGATACCAAGAAATTGAATTAAAAAAGGAGGGGTACTGGTATGGTATTTGGGCCACAAGCCCACTGAGAAAATTGGAATTTCCCTGGTTTCTTAGGTTGCACAGGCACGGGGGTGAAATGCTCTCTTGGAGGCCTTGCGTAACCTGCCAAGACATGGGTTTTAAATGATATCATATCATGCACGTCATACCTTGTACTGCAATGGAGCATAACGGCTTCAAACCCTGGGTGCTTGGTCCGTGTTCGGTGGTGGGAATTTGCAAGAATAATCGCAGAATTTAGGGACTTGGTTATTTTTTTAAAAGGAAAAAAGATTTTTTATTTTTATTTTTAGTGCCCATGGTGGGGGAGTCTGCAGAATAATCACGACCTGAAAACGGATGGGTTATGATACCTCGGTGTGACCCAACTCAGAATATTGCACAGTATGATACCAGGGTCAGAGCGACCGGTTGTGGCGGTGATCAAAGAGATCACTGTCAGGTTGGTCTGGGCTCTGAGCATAGAGATCGATTGGTACCGAGAGGCCGGAAAGGATGGGAGGACCAAAATGAATCTCATACGTAAAACGGTTGGAAGGGTTGACGGATCTTGAGTCACGGTTTTTATTTGTTGAATGGGGTTTTTAACCTTGGGAAAGGATAAATGGAGAGGTCTGAAGGGAATCCCAGAGTCAGGAAGTGTGCGAGGTTATTGCCAGAAATGATGAGCGGAGTGACATGCCACGATCCAAACAGGCCATTTCGTGCTTGGAAGTCAGTACAATCCCCTCACTGCGGCTCACCCCTCCAGTGCTACAGACGATTCACACATTAAGGCCTATGAAACAATAAGTTACCCCATGAAAGTATCCCACGCTGGGTGGCTTGCTAGTGCTAGCGAGTTCCAGCGCCGATCAGCCAACAGGAAGAAAGCAAAGGAGGTAAGACAGGGGATAAACCTAGAGAGGAAGTAGGAGCGGCTAGGGAGGTATGGCGGGGCCCTGAGTAATAGCGGAGGTTCGGGAGGGTCATCGGATGGAATAGGGAGGAAACGTGGGTTTAGGCTGGGGATATCAGCACCCCGGGAGTCCCTTTGGCCCTGAGAGCTCAGTTGAGAAGTCCGTGGCCCTCCAACCATCGGCTGATTTGGAAATCAGTGCTTTTTACTTCACGAGCAACTTCACTGCCCTCGTGCGTCTGCTGGTGTTGGCGTAAAAGGGTGGGGCTCAGCCAAATATATTACGTGTTTCGGGATTGATATTGTCCTGTTTGGGTAGCATCCCCCTATCCCTTGTATCTGTTCAGAGAAGCGCAAAAGAGCGATAGTACACCCACCATATTTCCCCGCCGTGCCGCCTCCGATATCTCCCCTTCTCAATAGTCTTAGCGGCTTCCTCCCTGGTGCCTATATATACATATGATATCTCTTGGGCCTCGCCAGACAAACGACAAACGGTGCAAAGGGGGAAAAGTGTTGTCCTGGAGTCGGTTGGTTCGGTAGGGCTGAGGAATGGTTTAAAACGCTATCGGGATTTACAGACATATATTGAGACTACGGACAAATTATTTTCTTGCCCGTAGAACTCCCGCCAAAACCGTCCGGTATTTACTGTACCTATTGCACCACATTTCCCCAGACAAACTACAACCAAACCTAGGGTTGCCGAACCGGGTGCAGCTCAATGGCGGGGTTGATTTATTAAAAATTTGGTCTTCGCAACGACTATAGAGACTCAATGTGGTTGCGGATGAAGATGTCGGCTATTCGACTAGCGTGGCTATTTGGACCAAATTCTTCTCCAATGGCCGGCTCGAATAGGTGGTTCGAGCTCTCTGGGCTCATGTCATGCCATCACCAGACTCACTCCATATGTAATGTTAGTTCCTAGACAGTATACTCTGGGGAATCTGGCGCTGGGTGCGAAGTGTAAGTCCATAGAACTATCTCTAGTTGGCCCGGAGGGCTTCTCGGCCTATTAAAACCCACGATTCGCGTCACTCACATAGAGAGCAATGCTGAGAGAATTACTAACTCCGGATGCAGCTTAAAATGGAATTTACCGGTTGTATGCCAAAGCCACACTCTTTTATTTCGTTTTCTATCGGACCAGTAATAATCCGGGCCCGCCAAGGCCACCGATCCTATGGTATGGTACGAATCACGGATGCTGTGGTTGGCTGGTGCTCACCCGGGAGCATGTCAAACCTAACGAGAGCGACGAGGAGAAAGGAAAGTTCGCGTTATGCTCAGCTGTTGGGGGTGGCTTTGAATTAATTGGGGTTCTTCTGCTCCACGGACCAGATAAAAACCCCAATTCCAAGGGAGAGGGTAATGGAACGACCCTTTCATTTGTCTACTCTAAAGATTGGGAAGTGGTGCTCAAACTCCTGCAAAAAGCCCCATCCCAATCAAGAAGCTAGGCCACACATCACATTGAAAAAAAAAACACGAAAGAAGGAAGGTTGCAGGAGTCTCATCGGTGGCTATCCCTCCATGTCTGGGGGCTTGACAAAAAGTGGAATCATCAAGATTCATATGATACCTGGGATCCCTGATCTGAATACGGCATCAGCAGAGAGAGAATTCCCCCTTCCCCCACCTAGATCAAAGGTTCCACAAGAATTCTTTTATTGGGCTTGATGTCTATCTAGCGTACAGACTAGCCTCTTTGCTCCTAGTCTCCCCCGCCACCGATTTTGTTGCTCACCACTCCATTTTTCGTCAGCGTGAACCCAATCTTTTTCATATCTCCTCCCACCATCAGGAAAACTTTGCAACTGTACCTCATTCAAACTATCATGCCCTTTCCCATTAACCGCTATTCCCCTCTTCCGTTTTCCCCCCGCTTTCCTCTCCTTCCGAGGCACTTCACTGATCTTCACTTCCGAGATTTCTATATATTCCAAACCCCGACACACTCCTAGTTTTCTCTTCCCCTGTTTCTTTCTACAACCCCCCTGGCCTGTTCACCCCTACGCGTGCGGTGGGAGATCGAGCTTCTCTTGTGATCCTTCGGGACAATAAAATTCTTAGTGAGTGATAATACATGATCCTACCATGGTCCAGAAACAAAAAACTAATCGCAGGAATAAAATGAGGAAAAGGAAAGAACACAATCCTCCACAATCAATTTACCCCTCTAGCGCATGAACCAAGCTCCAAAAGCTCGCCTGGGAAAAAACGCCACGCTATTCCAACCCAGCGACTAATTCCTCCGCCACTTTTCTCGCTTCCCCCATGCTCAGTCTTTTTCTGTTACGCAAAAACGCCCAAATCTTCACAGCGACCAACTCCCATACACCTCTGAGATAAGCACACTTTCTCTCTAAGAACACTGCAACTAGCAGCGCCACCCAAGCAATTTTATCTCCTCCGCACGACCCAGGCTCCAAATCAAGGAGGGAGCCGAGGAGTTCAGTAATATAAGCATCTGCAATTGGGAAGCTACCGTCAAAATTCTGCGCAGCTATAAGTCTATTGATGTCAACAAATCTGCCACGCGCCTGGGGTGGTGCCCCGAGCTCGCTGGGGCCGGGCGCACCGAACCAATCTGGAAAGTCCCGGTCGCTCTTAATGGACCCTGCACCATAGGCGTCGAGAAGGTGAGGGAGGGCGGTTGAGGGGAGTAGTCCAACGGATGAGGGGGTGAGATGTGAGGGCTCTGCAACGGTAGGTTCCCACTTCAATCTAGTGGGCTCGTCGGATGGATATTTATCAGGAGAGGCGGGGTTAATCTGGGGCCAAATTAGTGGCTGCGCCTGGACCTGGACTCCTGGGCCATATCCTAGTAGCCCAGCCACCCGGGTCATTCTATACGAAGCGAGGGCTCTCTCTCTTGCCAACTTATGTTGACCCCAGTCTCGCGCTTTCCTCACAGCCCTTGGAAATGGGTGGGGCATGTGAACTTTGTGCTCCGGATGGAACCTCGCAAGGATATCACTCCACTGGGATAGGCGCTCTTGAAACCGCTCCCGCCGCTGTTGCTGTTGCTGTTGCTGTTTCTGCTGTTGCGGTTGCTCTTGTGGTTGCTGTTTCCGTTGTTGTTGCTGTTGGGGCTGGGGCTGGGGTTGGGTTTGAGGTTGAGGTTGGGGTTGAGGTTGAGATTGAGATTGGGGTTGAGACCGAGACTGGGACTGAGATTGAGATTGAGATTGAGGTTGAGGTTGAGACCGAGACTGAGACTGAGATTGAGATTGAGGTTGAGGTTGAGACCGAGACTGAGACTGAGATTGAGATTGAGGTTGAGGTTGAGACCGAGACTGAGACTGAGATTGAGATTGAGGTTGAGGTTGAGACCGAGACTGAGACTGAGATTGAGATTGAGATTGAGGTTGAGGTTGAGGAGGTTTCTCTGCATGTCCCATCACTCTTCCATGAGATATTGGAGCCACCCTATCAGCGATACTGCCACCACTCTCGGCTGTGCCGTCCCGAGTGGGCTCTTGTTGTAGAGTAGGTTTGCGGCGCGACCGGGGTGGACTCCGGTCTGAATGCAGCGCAGGGGTGTCCCACACGGGATGTGTGGGGTCAGGCGTATCCCTCGGCGCCAGAAGGCGACTCAAAGTGTCAACTCCACTATTCATCGCTCGAGCGCCTGCCACGATACCCCACCAAGCCTTGGAGCCTGCCACTGTAGGGAGCACACGCGGAGGATTCTGGAATGAGAGGGGTATGCTACCGAACCCGGCAGAAGTGGAATTGGGGATGGGTATTCTGCTTCCACTATCCGTACTTGTTTCAGGTGACCTACGAGAGGTACCTCGAGTCGAATGTCTGCCCTCCGGATATTCCGATGGCACTCCCTCGGGTAACGCTGGGGTCAAGATCGGTGCATCGTCCAGTATTTCCTCTTCGATACCAACGAAGCTAGTCCATTTACTCGCCAGTGACCACCTCACACCAACTTCTTCACCTTCTCTCTGGATGTACTCCTGAATTCCCGCCGGGTCTCCTACAGGAACACCGTACTTGCCGGAGTGAAGCCAGCTTTTCCCCTCCTCCAGATCGCGCAATAGCATTCTACCAGCGAGCTGGTGGACTGTCTCCCCCGGCTGCCCGAGGCGGGTGATTGGAATTGAAAGTGAGAGCTGGTCACCAGTGATTGTGGTTGCACTTAAAGTGACGGACTTTGCGTACTTCAATTGTTTGGTGGTAGGGGGGACGAGGAGGTAAACTACGGATCTCTCATACGGGAAAAGAGGGGAGATATCGAAGGGGGCTTGGATCACCTCTGGGCCTTGTAGCCTCTCCAGGTGGGCGAACCTGTTACCACCATCTTCATAATTGCGCAAAGTTGGGGCCGGGCTCACACCTGGATATTGCGGTAGAGTAGGACGTCGGCGCGGTGCCGCAGTAGGGTCAAAAAGAGCGATCCTCCTCGATCTCCCCTGCGGGGGTATTTCCTGCACCGGAGCCGGGTGGGTGGATGCCATCTGCTCTCTCGGCCAATCTCTCTCTTCTTCATTCTCAGTCTGAGAATCCTCCTCATCCCCTTCCTCGTGTAAAACATGCAACTTGTACTTCCCGATATGATCCGTCAAAGCGCTATTAAGCATCCCCACCACCTTTGTCTCTAGGCTATATGCCAATATGTCACTGTCTCTCTCACCGCAAGGCACAATCTGGGAATACCCCCCCCAGCCATTGCAATTCCCTGAACGAGCGCGTGCGAAACCCTTTCTCCCACACCCAAGCTGAAAAGCCGAACCGCCCCACCACTTTCCTTGCGCATCCGTTGAGTGTATTCTAGTAGCTCCCGAAACTTCCAGATCTCTCCGTCCGTAAGAACCATGATTTCGGTACTAATTCCAGGTTCTGAGCGCCTCCGGGAAAATGCTTGCTCTAGGGGGGGTAATAGTTCTGTTCCACCGTAGCTCGCATCGAATGTCTCGACGTGGTCGGATGCGATATTCAGGGTTCCTTCGGTGTAAGCTCTGGAGCGCTCCCAGAGTAAGGTGCACCGACTGCCGAAGGACATAATGTTGAAAAAGCAACCTAACGGGAGAGACTTGAGGAATACACGGAGGGCCGACTTCACATGCCTGATTGTGTCTCTCATAGAACCAGATCGATCAGCTATGAAGATTATTTCAGTCTTCTCCGGTGGCTTTGTTCTTGGCATCTTGAAGCGCGGCACAAGCGTTATCTTTAAAGCTTGATGACCGGGGATAGTTGGATGGGTTTCTAGCAGTGCCTGAGGGGTAGATATGAAGTGCGGAGTAACAGTGGTGATCAGAAGCACGAAATCTTTCAAAAGCTCAGCAGGGGTCTGAGAAAGAATGACTAGGGCCTTCTTGGGATCGTGCCTTTGAGAATTTGCTCTCCCCGTTCCATGCTGCCCAAGCTGGACAGATGTTGGGTGCGAAGGGCTTCCGACAGACTTTATCTCTTCTCCCATTGTCACCTCAATTTCCATCCGAAGACTGTTATCCACCGAAACCTCGGGGCCATTCTGCCCAAATGCACCCGGCGGTGGCGGTCCGTACCTTGGCGCAATGGACAGCGGAACCGTGAACTCGATCCCATCGACCTCCGCATCATGCGGCAGTTCCAAAATATACCCAATCTCAACCCTAACCTTCACACCAGCTGGTATATTACCAATACTCGTTGTGAATACATCTGGAGTGTTGTACTCCAACAGTCCCGCCATCTGCCCACTGTTGGTAGCCCTCTCATATGACCGCTTCGCAACTTCCTTTGGTTGGACGACGCCGGTGATGACTTTACTTTCGCCGACTCTGCAAACAAAGGAAACGACGGAACAATTTGCATACAGTGGGAATGTGTATGTTGCTTTGGAAATCGGTCGGCTCCCGGGGTGGTAAAACGTCTGTGCCAACACTGTCCGAGCAGTTGTCATGAGGATTTGGCATTGGTACGAGACCTGCACAAGCGGGAGGAAAACTTGCTGACCCCCTGCCGGTGGTGGATCATTGGCCCATATCTTTGTAGGCTTCTTGGGGCTATCGCTAGCGGGCACCGCGCCGAAGCCGCTCACACCGGAGCTGCCGAAAAATGGAAGTTGACCTGGTGGTAAGTCGTAAAACGGGTCGTTGGGCGGGGGAGGATCGTCTTCGGGATAGAAGTAAATGCCAGAAGCGTTAGGGAGTACCATTTTGTTTCCTTTGAGGCTCGTGTTTTGTTTTTAAATAGCGTTTGGCACGATAGTACAATCTTGGGGGATCCTGGGGGTCTGGGTCAGTTTATGTCTAGTCGGGGGGACACGACAGACTATGCGGTCCGAGCGGTCTAAGGCAGAGAAAATATAATCATCAGGAATATCAGCCTAGAAAAAGGAAAAATGATATCAAACTAAAAATATCCTAAGGGTATGATTGAATAAGGTTGCGGTGATTTTATGCTCTCCTTGGGTACTTAGGGTGTGCCCATAAGGCTGTAGAAAACTGGTCTGGGTGGTCAAAATTAGGTGTGTGCAACCCCAATTATGCGGCTACCGCAAACAGCCCAACTGCGCCGATCTTTGGTGAAGGGAAAAAGTCTGTATCATAGAACTCTTGACCCAGCGGCTGGAGCTTACAGCTTTCTCTGAGTGGACGGGAAGGCCTTTGAACCGACCAGAGGGGTTCTACAGACTCACCCTTCACCCCTGGTGCATGGGGCTAACGGTAAATTTAAGTGAGCTCGTTGGTTCCTGGCTCGCCCTGCCAACGAGAGAACATGAAGTTTTCTGGTTGGTAAATTTACGTTTCGCGTTCGCCTCACTTTTTCCCCCCTCCAAAGGAAACGCCGATACCGGTTGCTCCGATAGCCTGGCTCACCAAGCTCTGGCCAGTTGACACTTTGGTCTAGCCGACTTAAGTACCTATCATAGCTCGCCTCATCTATGCTCAGCCCTAAGTACTTGTACCGTACGGGGGTCCATTGGGGATTGTCATAATATTATTACAATATAATATTAATAATTACCGGTCAGATGGGGAGTTAGTCAAATAGTTATCTAAGCGGGTAACTGATTTTGATGCAGAACCTCTCACAATAACTGCGGTTCCGGACCCCCTGGTACGGCAGTAAACAGGAGCCATGCAAGAAAAAGATTCCTGCAATGAGAGCCCCTAATTTAAATGACACCATGGGGGTTAAGCACCAAGGCACGCCCATGAGAAAAAACATCCAGACGGGAAAAAACCCCGTTTAGCATAGCTCAGTGCATTTTCATAGTAAAATAGTACCCAAATAGCGGCAGCACTCGCCGTTTAGGGGGGTAGGGGAAACGGTAGAACTACAGCCCATGCACTGCGGGGGAGGAATTCCGTTGCTCGGAATGCGGTGAGTTCTTTCCGCACCCCCCAAGCATCCTTAAAGTAGCGTGGTTTGGTGGTTGCCCAGGCTGTGGTGGGGGTGGGGCAATCGAACCTCATGGCAAGGTGTCCAGAATTCCCCTCTTTGGCTAAAAGGAGAGGATCGCACCGGAAAGAACTGGCCTTCTACCCTCCGTTGGTATAAATACCGTAACAAAAAACCAACTCCAGTGTGTAGCCCAATTAAACTAGTTCTTAAGGTAGAATTGGACAGCCTTGCTCCAGGTGATGCTGTTGCGAGCCGTTGGAACTGGGAAGCGCGTCAAAAGGGGTAGCGAATCGTTCAATATGTGTCAGGAAGAAGAAATATTGAAATCCCAATTGATGCCCGATAGTTGGAAGAGGGAACCTAGAAGAGTAGGAAATATTCCTGATATTATAGCGCTGATTATATTTTGGTATCTTATCGGTGGTCGCGGATGATTGGCCAATACTACACTAGGGTGCCCGAAATGGCCATGCGGGAATATTGTACTAGTAGTTGGGTTGCTGCCCGGTTGGGATACGGCGGTAGCGTACAGTACCTGTGTGGCAGGAAGAATGTTTTAGGGGTTTTCTGGTCATGTTTTGCTGGTTTTTACCCATAGAATTTTCTGTTTGGGAAGAGGCTTAGCAAGTGGAAAATTTTCGCCTGGGGGCATGGCCTTGCCTTCCTCGGGGAGAGGAGGAATGAAGACATGAGCAACCCATCCTGTACGACCGACTACGCCGCCTTCTTTCCTGTTGTATCTGAGCTCTGTTTTCCCACCATTTTTGTCTTGCTTTCTCACTGAGTTTTTACTGTCAACTTTATCAGCATAATCCTATTCTCCCATCCGATTGAATATCACGTCGTACGGTCAGCCAGATTGCACAGGTGTCAGCTCGGTCAATCACAGCATCCAAATTACGGAAGTAAACGGAGGCACTTCCACGCCAGTACCGTAATTGCGAAGAGTCCGAGAACCAGAGGAGAGGTTGCAGGTTTCGGAGTTGGCTATCCGGCATGGAAGGGACTCTTGTGTCCAACTCGAACAGATTAGTCATCCTACTCGTGCTAGTAGCAATCCCTTGGTCTGACACTACCCCCGATGAGTCGCTGGAGTACGGTCTCACTTGGAAATCCAAGTGCTTGCGTTTAGCTATGACTAAGGATCCTTTCCGAATACGGTAATGTACCTACGTAGACTAAGGCATACTAATATTATACAGGGAAGGGGGAGAATCAATTGAAATCATTAGCACAGACCCGACCTGTCTCTACCGGGTGAAGCCGACTCGGGTATTTGCTAGAGTCGGAGCCTCTAGTATCATCGCTCTAGGTATAGATTCCAATGCCCCGCCCAAAGTAAAAACTCAACTCAAGAGCGGTTGAATGTAGGTAGGTGTTGACCTTCGTGGACTAATTACATAAGCCTTCTGTCGGCTTTGGTAAGAGCCGAGGGATCATGATACCAGTGCCCACATGGGATT